AAAAAAAAAAAAAAAAATACATCTACGCTAAAATCTTACAATTAAAAACATTCTTTTTTCTCAAGGTATTTCCAATGAAGTTACAAACGAATTCGCTAATTAGGTAAAATAGGCTTTTTTGAGAGCCTTGAAACGATTATGAAATAGTAATCTGATCCATGTAGGTACAATTGAAGGTTACAAGCACAAATTAAAATTATTTATTATTATCCTAATTCAGTTATTCAGAGAACCAAAACGAGAAAGCTGCTATTCGTTTTAAAGATTTTCTAGTATAAAAATGCAAATGTTGTCCTCGAAAACGGATTCAATGTCGACTAGTTTCTAGATAGGCAGTACAACGTTTTTTTTTCTATTTTCGGAAGGACTCTCTACCTATCGTGGGTCATTCATCTAAATATTGAGAAAAGCTCTACTGAGACAACGTAACGTAGCCTAATCTAGGAGTAGTGCGTCCGCGCACGCTGCTCAATGCTCATGAGGAAGTGTCCCACTGTGACGCAAAGTCGCGACTAGTCTGTCGCACCAGTTATTTGCTGTACCATCTTGTAAAACAGTCAGTAGAACTAAATCTCCGTTACCACGCACGATGAAACTTTTAAGCCGATTCTTGGATTCAGCGCCAGAGTCCGTGTGTTTTCGAGTAAAAGAAGATTATTTTTGTCGGAATGCTTGAAGTATTACGAAAGAGATGAATGAACTATAGTATAGATCTATTATTAAATATCTTTTTTTTCAATGTATTGTTCCTTACAATTGAATATGTATTGAGTAGTGTAATTCGTTTTTTGTACCGTTATATTCGTATAAATACTTAAATAATTAATAGTAGAGCGTATCCCAATATTTAAGTACATACGTGACTAAACTCTCTAATGGTGTCATTGACCTATTTTTAATTTTTTGCCTTTCAAAAGTGTCATTATGATCAATGACCGAATGTGACTGGAGTTATACCACGACTTCATAAAAACCTGGTATGAAACAACGTTTATGTTGTGTTTCATCGTGTGAGCGAGGTTATTGGAGGCCCAATCCTCCCCCGTATCCCCAATCAGAAGTGGAGGCCTTTTTTCAGTATGATGATGATAATGATCCCCAATGTCTAAAAAGTTGCCGACGCAGTAGTAACTCCACAGGTGTCCATGAATGGTGCCGATTGCTTACCATCAAAAGATTTGTCTAACCTATATGCTTACCTTTTTTTTTTCTATCGCGATGGAAATCCTCATAGACTTCCCACGCCGTGGGGACGATGAAGGGGCCTGCCGGCCTCTTACCGGCTAAAACCACCGCGGTGTTCCTTCACTGCCTGTGACCGTGCCCGGGTTGCCCTTACGGAATCACCACACAACCTATATGCTTACCTAAACTATATGATGGCGCCGATTGCTTACCATCAGAAGATTTGTCTAACCTATATGCTCACCTAAACCTAAACTATATGCTTTAAACAAAATCAATAATTTACTTACTTCTCTTCAATGTGTTTGACTTGTGTGTTCGAAAAAGCAGTGGACACGTGAGTAATGGCCTTCAGGTTCCGACACTCCTTAGCCAGCTTCAGAACCTCTTTAGTACCCTTCACGTTGATAGCCGTGGAAACTGAGAGTTTTTCATCAAACTTCACGGTTGCAGCCGCGTTGATAATTATTGTGACCTGTAACGACATCTCTTAGTGAAAACTTTGAACTTAATAAGACAGTACCATCTGGTGTTGATTGATGTAAAAGATATTGTGACTTGGCGAGGTTAACTGGACATCTACACTCTTGGAGTAGAATACTCTAAGTCTACATTATATGAGCTGCTGTTTACATGTGAACATTAGCTCATGACGATACCTAAGTACGTGTGTCGCCTGGACAGTCAACCTCGCTACATCCTTGTTGATTGGATAACATACCTTGCTTGCTAACATCTTTCTGTCCTCTTCGTTGATGCCTAATCCCGGCAGTTCCATGTCTCCTAATATCGGAACCACCTTGTGGATTCCTTTAGGATTCTCCTCATGAGCTCTATGGAAAAGCTAAAACAAGAATTTATTCATACAGTGAAATCGGAAAAAGATAAAAAGCAAACAAAACCAAAAGTATGAAATAACCCAAAGTACCCTAAATTAATAGACTTAACCAATTGATAATTATGAGCCCCGGTCATAACTTGAAACTAATCGAACATCTTCGAACACAAACGTAAACCGCAGAGGCGGCTTAAATCTAGAGCGAGATCTAGGTAAGCAGCTCATAGACGCACCTAATTTATTTTGTCGCCGCTGCCACTCTATGTGCAGTAGTGCCCGACACTCCTCTTTAACCTGGCGCCCGGCACTTGCCTGGTTTGCCTTAAGAATAATACGGCTCTAGTAAGCCCTATATCTAACAGTACAACAATGTCAATAAGAGCAGATTATACTCACAAACTCGTCCATCATCTCGTGTAGCCGCACCCTGGGGTCCTTGCCTTTCTTATTCCTTGCCAATACATAAATCGTGTTGATATCTCCGCAGGAACGAATTATTTTTTCTATTAGAACTGCAAAAAAAAACAAACAAAATAAGATAAAACTTGCTTCGAAAGTTTGGTAGTATACATATGTATGTGTGTGCAATTAGTTTTAAAACGGTATTACGTTTTTTATTAACCTAAGAAGTAACTTAGATAACATCTACTTTTGTCAGTAATTTTACGACTCTCTGAGGGCCAAGCACGAATGACTATCGCATTCGTATCGTAACAGTATCGAGCGAGTTAAGCGTTCTGATTGGTTGGTTCACTTGAGCCGGCTAATCAGAGCGCCAAACGCGCTCGATACTATTACGTTACGAATGCGATAGTTATTCGTGCTTGGCACTCAGATGTATAATATGGATTGATCTTATTGCCATGCCTATAAGGACCAAATTCTAGACTTTTATTTGTTTTTTTATTTATGTTATCGATATTAATAACAATTGAAATATATTTTATCGCAAGAAGTAATATTATGCTTAAATGATAACTAACCTAACCTCTCGGTCGCAGGGTAATTCAGGGTACTGATAATAGATGTCGCTAATGTAGCGGTAGCAAAACTTGTTTTGCTTTGTTTAAGGCATTTTAAATTTCCGGAAGGAACGTAATCATAAATGCGTACAAAACTAAAAAAGGACACAACTATTTCCTTCGCCCATTTATTTGGCAAATATAATATTTTTTATTAAGTATTATATAAAGCGGAAGAGTTTGTTTTTAGTTTGTTTGTTTGAACGCGCTAATCTCCGTAACTACAAGTCTGATTTGAATAATTCTTTTTGTGTTGGATAGTGCATTTATCGAGGATAGCTATTTATAAAACATAAATATAGGATATAAAACATTACGCTACGACCAATAGGAGCTGAGTCGAGCGTGTGAAACCGCGCGGAAGTAGCTATTCATTTATAATTATGAAAATATCAATTCCATTTTTTAAGGGGGAATATCATCAAGTCGCTCTTTGGATAAGGTGAGAGGGAGTGTCAGACTCTTACTGACTAAACACCACTCCGTTCCTACTCCTGCATAGAGCCGGAGCCCCGGTCACCCCAACGGTTCTCCTCAGCCCTGTTTTGTTTAAGTGTATTGTGCTCAAAGAAAAAATTTCAAAATCTTTTTCATATATTGGATGGGCCGATGTTTGTCCACTATCTCGCCTGGTGGTAAGCGATGATGCGGTCTACGATGGACCACGTCGTCCCATAAGCAACCTATTCACTCGGGCCTTGAAGACACCCAGGTTATATACCCTTCAGGAAATACAGACTCTGGCAAAGAATTCCACTCCTTAGCAGTACGCACAAGGAAGCTTGATGCGAAGCGCTTCGTTCGTATGTGTGGGAAATCTACCATGAATCGGCGACGCTTCGCCGATTGTCTTGTGGTACGATGATGAAAAGGACTAGGGGGAATCAAGTTGTGCAATTCCCCCGCACACTCTGTGAAATGTATCCGGTAAAAATCGAAACATTTGCAACCTTATCTCATTCGTTGTACAAAGCTAAGCAGGGGCAAGATGCTAGCACGGACATAATTATTTATCCATTATTTGACTTGTGACGTCAGTAGATATACATATAATTGTTTACTCTAATTATATGCCGACATTGACGTATACTTTGTAAATAATAATTGCAACTGTATGTATATGTATGCGTACATTACAGTATTTACAGTTTTATTAATGACCTTGAAAAAAAGGCCAATACAGCCTCTTGATATACCGACTGTGGCACCGGGTTACTATAGGTATACTTACACGCAGAACATACATAAATTGACACGAAAGAAAAGAAAGAAAGAATGTTTATTTGTAAGAGCACACGACCTACACCACGATATGATAGAAAAACTTGAAAGAAAGAAAGAAAAAGCATTTATTTGGCACATGGCACACAAACAAAGATTATGGAAAGTAAAAAAATACAAGTACATACTTACACAAATACATAATATCAAAAGGAAACATAAAAGCATAAAGAAAATAACAAAAATCATCAAAATATAAGAAAATAATGTACATATGAAACAATTGAAATAAGTTTTTGATATAAAGACAAATTAAATACACAAAAAAAAACACCATAATATAAATAATATAATACTGCGTGTGCACATGCCAAAAGGGCCTCCACCTCAGCATATAGTTGAGCATTCCTGCCCAACGCTGATTTTCAGGTGGCACCCTGCAGTGACTCACGGACGGCGGTACCGCCCCTCAATAAGGAAAAGAAAATAAATTTTAATATGAAATTAAATAGATAAAATCTTGAATCACTATCAATCAGAGGCCTAGAAGACCCTGGCCATGCTTACACAAGATATGGCCAATTTAACCCATTCCTCTTCGCTAACAGAATAGGCGAAATTGATTACCTAAATAAAACAGAGAGAAGCAAACCACTTCACAAGAGGACGGCTCCGGACGGGGACGTCAGCATAAACTATAACTCTCAGAGTCACTCTTGAATACTAAGTAACCCCTGGTCGTGGACCAAATGGGCGGTAATAATAGGTTAACCCAGGACTTCTCATAATTGTTATAATGTATAAAATTGTGTGAAAAGAATTCGGCAATTGGCTACAAAAGATCCCTCCCCGGACTAAATGTACCAATAATACATACCAAATGCACTTGTAAAAATTCTATTTAAGGTTAAATAAGGATGTTATATTATATTTATTTAACTAGAGAAATAAACGTTTATTCTATTCTATAGCGTATACATAAACCGAGTAAGAAGTATGTACGTAGGTTTGTCATTTTCTTAGGGCTCGTACACAAAACTGCGATGCGAATTCGCAACGCAAAAAAATTACGATGCGAATTGCTGCGATGCGATTTCGTGCGACAAGGCGTCTCCCAGGGTGACCATTCGTTCGACGACCGTCAACCGTACTAAACGTATTTTAAATTGAAAACTAGGTCGTGACATAGATTATAAAAAGAAGTGTGCACTTCTGTTATTGCTTAGGAGATACAGGAAAAAGAAACAAAGAAGATTTTGGGAAGATAAGATTTTGATGCGCGATGCGAATCATTTCGCAAGTTCTTGCAATGCGTAGAGGGAGCTCGCACATTTCTGCGATGCGACGTCGCATCGCAGTTTTGTGTACGAGCCGTTATTACACATGCACACATCAATAACTGACATTTTGGTGCTTTAATGATTTCTAAGTGACATTATAATAATAATCTCATGAGTGTACAGTTTGGCAAAAAATAGTTTGACGCGATGACAGCTGGAACTATTATTGACTTGGACTGAATCACCCACTTCCGACCAGGGCGCTCACTCTTGAAACCAATCTCAATGTCAATGCAATTTCAATCCAATAATTATTCAATGTCAAAACTATACAACCCTCATCGTAGCTGTTGAAATAGCATTCAGGGTACGGAATATAAAGACAAACTCAATACCACTTAGTTCATTCAATATCCACGCAATACGGATGCAATGGGCGCTAGTGTTGCAACTCAAGAGTACGAAATTTCACAATACCAATGTCGATCGATCGGAATTGGATTAATTGTTGTATTATGATGTGTAAACAGTCGTTGGCTGACCTTAATAAATAAAATAAAATAAAAACTAAAATAGTGTCGGTGTTCCTAGGTAGAGTCCATTTCAAAATGTTTAAAAATTACTACAACTTTGTAAGACTCGAAAATCGAACACCTTATTATTAAAAAAAAACATTCTTATCATTAACACTACTAATAGACTACAAAAAAAGAAAAAATATATAACAAAAAGATATGATTCCGGCCAGGATCGAACTGGCGGCCTTCTGCGTGTAAAGCAGATGTGATAACCACTACACCACGGAACCAGTTGACGAAGTTGCCAAAATAGCTGTACGGTTACTTTGTGTTATATTTCTTAATATTTTTTATCAGACGATATGACATGCAAAGATAAGATGTTTTTAAATAAAATAGAGATAGACTATGTTCTAGCTGACCCATTTTTTCAAATGGTTTTTTCTCACCGTCCAATCATTTACTGACGGACAGACATGACATTTTTTTTTTTAGGGAGAATATCATCGAATGACTTCTCCCGCCTGGGTGAGACGAGAGGGAGTGTCAGACTCTTACTGACTAAAAACCACCCCGTTCCTACTCCTACACGTCGAGCCGGAGCCCCGGTAACCCGTTAGGTTCTCTGCGGCTCTGTATCGGCATCAGCCCTATTGGGCCCCATCCATGGTGGACAGACATGGCATGGCATGTAAAATTCACTTTGTCTAACATATAATGTTTCTTTTAAACGATCTATTCTCAGGAACTGCTAGTCCGATTTGAATAATTCTTTTTGTGTTGGATAGTGCATATATATCAAGGAAGGCTATAGGCTATAAAACATCACGCTACGACCAATAGACGCCGAGCATAGCGGTTGAAACGGCGCATAATTAGATAGTAAACCTTATTTTTTTATGGTAGGTATAAGCCGGTAGACGAGCAGACGGATCACCTGATGGTAAGCAAACGGCGTCGTCCATGGACACCTGGAACACTAAAGGCGTTAAAAGTGCGTTACCGGCCTTTTGGGAATTAGGAATTTGAGGATTGTTGGGTACCTATCCAGGGGTTGGGGAAAGGAGAGGGGGTAATTAAAATAACTTAAGAATTCTTACACAAAAATAAGTAAACGAAAAAGCTTCAAATTGTTTTATTTCAATACAATACAATACACACACCACGAAACTGTATTTTTGATTTAAATAGGTATTTTTATTTGTTTTTTCATAATGAATAAATTAATTTATATAATTTTAATTATAACAGTAGTAGAGTACATCACAATACAACTTTTTCGACGACACGACTCGCTTTCAAACTTATTCTGCCATCTGGAAATGATAAAAGAAAAAAAAATTAATAAAAAAAAATTAAAACATCGCCATGATCAGATGACAAATGTGAAGTATTGAACAAAAGACTCCTTTGTAAGTCATTTTGCTATAATCCCCACACTTGGCAAATGGCTTTGGGGATTATAAATTTA